TCTTTCAAAATTTATAGCTTTGCATTGTTATGTTGAAGTTTCCGTTATACGTTGTACCTTGATTCTAGAAAATTTTTGGAATTTTAATACAAGTTTTAAAGTTTTTTCAATTTTGCTCAAAAAGGCACTCGGTATGCATTGGGGAAACTTAATTAGACTTTATATTAAATTGTATAATTGATAGAATTTGTCAAATCCTGCTTTTGATGTAAATTGTATCTGGATTATTATCAGGCATTTGTATAGTTTCAACCCAATCATATTTGGGGGCATGGGTTCAATAAATTTCTATTGTAACTTTCTTTGAGTGCTTTCTTATAAAATGTGATGATGGTGTGTATGGATTCGACTTCTCGGCTAGGCACATATACAAGATGATGTGAAAAGTAGCCACCAATTGTTCTACAAAATGCTCCAATCACATTCTATCATTCAAATGCGTGATTAACGGCATGTAACCACATCCATTACCCAAACGCTGAGACAACTACCATGTGCTACAACCTCCAGCCATGCAACTTTCGCGCACTAAAGCCTCCATTAGGTGTTGTTGCTACAACTGTTGTGTACTATAGCCTCAAGTTATCGTCGTTGAGGTTGTCACAATACGTTTAAGACCATCGACAACTACAATTGAGGCAAACACAGGCTGCTCCTAGTTCTGTAAATGAGCTGAAGTGATTCCAGTTTTTCCAGTGTTCAAGTTGGAACTAGATTGAGATGATTATTTGGATTCTATCTCGTCTAAAGTACACAGTCAAGCAGTTCTGGATTGTTTGTGATTTGTTGGATTATTTGAAAAGGAAAAACAAGATTTATGTTCCTATTGAGGTATTGTCGACCATTTTGAGACAGTATACCGAAAAGCACTTGACACATCTTTAAAACATTGCGAAGAAGATAGAAGTGAAGAGGCAACCGAAGATTAATGAATTTAACTTGTTGCTTGTTCTATGCGTAAGTGTAATCTTGTTAAGGATGTTAAAGATGAAGATGTGATGAAGCAAGGACAACACGTAAATGCCATTTGAAAGTGTTCAATAATAGATGATTTGCATAGAACTCTCAAGCTATGTCACCTTTTTTTTTGTAAGTCTCTCACTTAATATCAAGAACATAAAGTAGACTCATCAAGAATCAATATCATAAATTAAAAGGAGGAATTGGAAAGAAGAGTTCCGGATGGAGAAAACAACTTGGAGCAAAAAAAAATTATTATTATTCGGGCAAATTGCTCGGCATCGCAGCATCGGGTATGGGCGCCTTGGCGCTGGCCTTGGCACCGTGGGCGCGCCACCTATTCTGTTCCCTTTTTTCGCGTTTTCTTTTCCTATTTTGTTTTGGACTCAATTTTTTAGCATCATATTTCATCAACAACTCTACCAAGATAGTTTGAACGTCCCTTACATGTTTCCTATAAATACTAGGCTCTCATATACAATTTTGTGGTGTGAGAAAATAGATTACTAGAATTATAGGATCCATCACAATTTTCACTATTCTCCATTATTCTTAAGTCAATAAAATCTCTTAATTCATCTGTCATATTTCTTGTCTTTATTATTCTTTTACTTGATCATATACTTTATTATTGTGACATATAACTTCAACATCTCAATTTGGTGGTTGATTTCACAACAAGTGGTATCAGAGCTATTCTGATAGCTTGTTTGTTTTACAACGTATATGGTAGTCAAGATTCAAGAATGGTTGTTTAGAAACAAATTGTGAGAAGAAAAGCAATTTCTGAGTTCTTTTAAGTATCAACTTACCTTTGTAAATCAGCGAGCTGATTGTCAGTCTATAAAAATTGTGCATCTACTTGCATTACAAAGATATTCACTTCTTCTTCTTTTTCACTTTTTTTTTTAATAACAATGGTTTGTATTTTACAATGTCGTCTATTTTCACCACATCCTTTTATGGTAAGACAGCTCTTTGTATGGCGGGACTAACTGCATCGGCAAGTCTTCAGATTTTAGCAACTTGTCTTTTGTTGGTGTTTCATTTTATACTTGGTTGGGATGGTAGTGTGAGGTGAATAAGCCTCCGTTTGGGAAAAATTGTAAATAGATAAAAATTCGTGAAAATTAGTTGATAATACTTGTAGATTAATTGAAACGTGTGATTGAAAGTAAAGTTTTATATAAATAATTTATAAATGTGCCAAACAGAGACTAATCGCACCTTTGTCATATATTTCGCATTTGTTGGTAGAAAATAAAATAAAGAGATGGCAAAAGAAAGTTATATCTCACATTAGATGAGAATAAAAATATGGATGAAAGGAGCGGATGAAATTGTTGTGTTTCATATATTCGAGTGAGACATAAGGAAAATCAAATGAAAAGAAAATAAACCAGTTAAGTTATAAGATTTGCAATTGGATTTGAGTCTTCAGGGGCAAAACAAGTTTTTACAGATTAATTTCATTGAAATAATATGACGTCCATATAATTTTTTATAATTTATTCTCTCTTTTTTAACATCCTTTCTTTTTCATGTGGTCACAGTTAGTGCAACTGAAGATGTTTTTAGAAGTAATTTTTTCTAGAAGTAGATAAAGTTACAATTATTTTGTGGGATTATGCTACTTATACATAAAATGGTACATAAAGAATTACGTAAAATGATGTAGTAGAGGAAAAATATTAGATGAAAAAGTTGATTGAGTATCATGTGACACAGTATGTAATCACTTATATAAACACTTATGTATATGTAGCAAGATCCTTATTTCGTATGAACCACAATTTATTTATTTTGAACTACAAAAGTAATAAATTCGATATTTATTCAAGCTACATGTGCTTAATACATTACAATTATTGGGGGTTTTTTTTTTCACCTAAATTAGATTGAATTTTTGAAAAAATATTTTTTACCAAAATTAGATTGTTTTCTTTATTTCACATGATTTTTGATCTTGTTTCCATCTTTGTGGCATTTCTAAAATTTGACATGCACCTCTCTTTTCACAAGTTTTATATTACTAAAATACAGTATAAGTGTGCAGACACAATTATTGTCCATGTTTGGGCCACATTATTTTTTTCATTCTCATTTTTCTACTCATTTTCAACCACATTCATCAATAAAAAAATATTTTCCATCACATCAATAACTTTTCCTTCATTTTCAACCACAAAAAAAGTGTGATTTGACACAAAGAATGCTTTATTTTCTAGAATAATGGTTACCAAACGGTGCCTAATGCACCTCTCTTTTCACAAGTTTTATATTACTAAAATACAGTATAAGTGTGCAGACACAATTATTGTCCATGTTTGGGCCACATTATTTTTTTCATTCTCATTTTTCTATTCATTTTCAACCACATTCTTCAATAAAAAAATATTTTCCATCACATCAATAATTTTTCCTTCTTTTTCAACCACACATTCTCCATCAATCTACTATTCCAAAATACATTCTTTCAAAATAATATGACTCAAACACATCCAATTATATTTGTTTTCTCTATATTAGTCAATTGAATGAAATACTTCATTCTTCAGCCAATTAATTCTTTGCCTTTTATCATGTTATTTGTTTGCGATCCGTTTTACTTCCCAACAACAATGTTTACTATGAACTTGGTATCATTCAAAACTTTTGAGCATATTTAACAAACAGGCGAACAAAGTCAGAAAGGAGTCCAATTCTGATCCCCAGAACGAAAAACGAAGTGATTGATCAAGAAAAATAGTTACTAACACGGAAACTTTTTTCCTCGTTTAAAGAGAGAAAAAATTAGTAGTACAAAAACTATATAGATTATTCACTAACAGCTATACATAATCTTATAAATAAATAAAAATATACTCATTGTAAACAGAAAACTACATAGATTCTCCTATTTTCCTCACTAATTATGGGACCACTTAGGAAGAAGTAACTATCTTACGATTGAAAAAGGCTTGTTGTACAGCCTTTTTGTACAGTAACTTACACAACCCACACACATGGGGTGGGGCCCACATTTGTAAATTACTGTGTACCAAGGCTGTACACCAAGCAAGGTTGCTTACGATTTGAGTTCAATTTCCATTGCTCTTTTATGCATGTTTCATGTACGAGGAAAACAAATCTTATTCCATTGCTCTTCAGGTTTCGTACACAGTATTATTCGTTAAAGTATGTAGAAGATTATTAATACTCCATGACTACAGTACCTTAATCTGTGAAATTTTCTTATGAACATACCAATAGATTACAGTGTCTAAATAAACTTTCTTAATTGTACCACACCTTTATGTGCAGAGTGCTGAACCAGCAAATGCGAAAACAGCAAGCAGAATGATTCTCCACTCTAAATACAGTATCGTAATCTCCTCAAACATTACCTGCAGAAAACTGAGAGAATATGAAAATCGAGCACCACCTATCATCAACAGTATTAGTTAACATTCGCAAGTTTCCATCTGAATTATTTTGAACATACTCATGTACTAGACAACATTTTAATATCTTTGTGTATTTAATAACGTCAAGTTATGACTAATCCAGCATACCAAACATGCCATAACACGTTCACATGAGTATCTTAAATACCATAGAGATGCAAAATACACAGAATTTACCAGTTCAACCAGGGAATTTGACTTGCTTAGAGTGCCATCTCTGCTTGCAAAGCGGCAAGTTCATCTTCCTCTGTATGTTTCTGAGGAGCAGGGCGAGTAGGTACTCTGCCTGATGGGACCTGAACTGGAGCAGCAGGGGCCGTGGTTGCAGGCTGAAGAAGCTGTTCCTCCAACTCTGCACCTTCCAATTCTTCAAGCTCAGCCTCCAATTCGTCCTGTCATGACGAAAAAATTTATGATGCTTACTTGATTACATAACTCGTGTGTATCAATAGATAGAATTTCGACACAAATATAAATAAAACTTCGAACTAGTCTAATTAGAGATAAGCAAAGAACCTCATCAAAATCAGTTGCTGCACTAATGGGAGTAGCCAAGGCTTCCTGTATCTGCTTCATGTTCTCTGTTTGTTCGTTTATCTCGTCCATTGTCTGGTCCACATCATCAATGTTCCTATATATAAGCCATGTTAAAGTTCTATACATGCTGAGAAGATGACACACATCAAGCATCAAAAGTACGCAATTTATCTATTCTCTTGCTGATGCGTCATGCATATAACTGTACCAAACACCATATCATGAAGTCTGTCTGATGCATAATTACAGCAAAAGGAAAAACAACTCACAAACAGCATATACTAAGTTCTAGACAAAATCTCTTAAAACTCCAGATATAATACATAGTCTAAACCATCTACTTACGTTGCTTTCTGCATTGATTTCATTGCAGCTGCTCCACTTCTCAAAGCGTCCACTGTTTCAGTAGTTGCTTTGGCACCTTCTAACAGTATCATCTACAGAGAAAGACACATTTAAAATAAGCACTCAGGCAGGTTTTCTTAGAAAAAGATAATCAACCTGATCATGGAGACGTAGTTGGAAATTTCCAAGCTGCTCAATTTGCTGTTCATAGAGTCTCTTCCGCTTCAAACACTGTATAGCCGCTGCATGATAATTTGGTTTAAATAAGTTTGTTTCAGAGTTCAACATAGAGCCTTCTAAATCTGTTAGTGATGGAGATCCTAATAGATATATTATAGAGAATACTTTCCACATTAAATACTTATTTTAGGAAACGCAACTAGGATTTTATTTAACAGATTTTCTAATATTTGAATAGTTGTTTCCTAAGTAAGTTTAGTTAGTTTAAACCCATATATAAGGTCTCTACATTGTAATACTTAGACTTGATTATTGAATAAACTCTTATTTCTCCTTCTAATTTCTCTTGATTCTCTCCCTTGGTCAGATGATGCTGTTGAAAATGATTGCACATTCAATTGTCATCGAAAAACAATCGCCTTCTTGGATAAGAAGTTGCAGTCTACCTCGTGTGAGCCAAGTTCTCTTAGATGGGATCATGGGAAGAAATGATGGAGATCCTAATAGATATCTTATAAGGAATACTTTCCAAATTAGATATTTATTTTAGAAAGTGTAATGAGGATTTTAATTAATAGATTTTCTAGTATTTTAATAGTTGTCTCCCACCTAAATTAGATTAGTTTAAACCCCATATAAATAGGATCCTTGCATTCTAACATGATTATTGAATAAACTCATATTTCTCCTAATTTCTCTTAATTCTCTCCCCTTTCATCTAAAGTCTCGTTCTCGTTCTCGTTCGTAGTGTACTGCATCATACTTGCAAAGGGAAGAACAGATTCAACAGAAGCATAACTAAAACTAAGGGGCAGAATTTGTTCAGTGAAAACAGCTACACAAACAAATTTCTCCCTTGTCGTAAAACTTACAAATGCTAAAATTTTCCCGCACATTGGTGAGCATTTTGTCAACACAAGGTAAAAGTCAACGTGAAAGCCACAAACCACATAAAACTGCAACTCCTCATTCTTAAAAAGGGGAAAATTATCATGGACTAAAGTCAACAAGTTGGCATAGATAAACTGCTTAACTGTCTCCAAAGTTCTGAAATCATATAATCAGTTGACTAATGAATACAGAATTGTAAATGAAAATACTGGGGGATCTAACTGGATCGATCAGCAAGTAAACCAGATATGAGATAAAATTATCTACAAAATGAAGTTTTACTTTGTCAAAGTGTAGTAATACAATACTGATTTCTAGAGGGAAAAACTACACGAATGGGCACAAAGCAGATTTTTTTGCTAAAACTTGGTATCCATAAAATTGGCCAGGAATCCAAAAGAAAGTTGTGGTTATTACCTTTCTTGTTTTTTGCTTTTGTGAATTCCTTGGCCTTCTCAACTTCAGAAGAAGCCTTCCTCATTAGCACTTTTTCCTTCTTCTCAAGCATCTCAAGAGTCTACACAAGGTAAAGTATGAAATATTGAATATGTGGATGTGTAGATTGTAGACAACAACCCACATAATGCATAAAATAATAGAAACAGAAACCTTATTCTAAATAAATTTGGTTAATCCTCTGTGGTCACTACATTCCACCCCATGCTAGTTGACTATCCACCAGAACATCCAGTAAAATTAAATTAATTAGAAATTCAGAACCACATTAGCCATGCTAATTTCGGTCTAGCCTTTCTAGCCGAGTCTACAGGATTGCATCACTTTTGATACAAGAACTTCTTTAGGTCCATAGAAGTGCCCCAAGCATCCCAAGTCATTTTTCCGTTAATTTATCTTGGATTTGTACCACTTTATCTTGGATTTGAACCGCTTTCACTTGTTTGCCTATATTCTTGATTCTTAGTTTATTTATTCTAGTATGACAATATATCTATCGGGCATCCTCATTCCTATCCTTCAAATAACCACGGATCAGTGCTTTAGAACAGAACTAGTACACTAACCGTTATGTAGAGCTCAGCCTTCCAAAGTTATCATCAAACATATATTTAAAACTACAAGGGGTCGGAACGATTCAAATATTTGGGGTTGTAAGAATCTTGGAATAGAACCTTTTGTCATCTTATCTATACATTAACTTGAGTAAGGTCACTTTGGTAGGACACTTAGCGTGAAGGCTGAAGCGCACAATAAAGCTCATGATACCCATTTAACACTGGAGCATGAAGTTAATATAAAACATAAAGCACTAAATTTCTGTTGTTTCTGCTTTGAGCATTGTTTTCACTTATTCTAAGTTTTTCAGTAAACAATCATAGGGATGAAATCCCAAATTCTTCTCCCTCAGGCATTCCATGTAAATACTTAAGAGATTTTGATTTTCTTTAGAGAAGAAAATTATACAAAAGTCCAGGAGGGGGCAACCTGTGCCCAGAAACCAAAAAAAGTGGTGTGACTATCTCTTGCGGAAAAAAAGATGAGGTTGTATTGAAACTCTCCATAGATATCGTGGATAGGAGAAGGTACCTTGATCCAAAAAAAAACATTCGATCAGCTCTAAATATGTGAGCCAGAGGTATATATGTTTTTAAAAGAAAGAAAAGTTACACAGCGATATTTATCCACGCATACCAATGAAAAAGTTCACACTAATTTGAATGAACTACAACATATATAGGCCCATTTCAGTCAAGGAATAGCACACGTTATATCATGAGAGCAGAAGAAAGATCTCAATAGATCAAGATTCCCAGACAAATTTTCACCGCTGCCATCATTATAACAGAGTTTCCCTAAAAGATGGTGAATAGAATTGACACTAAGCAAACAGCTCAAACCATTACACAGTACAACCGTTCGCATGAAAACTTCATAAATAAACTACAAAATTCTAATTTTACATGCCAAATCAAATTAAAAAAGAAAGTAGGCACACAGATATATGCATATTGCACAATCGTAGAAACTATTCATAATCACAAAATATAAAAAATTATACCTCATTTAATTTGTCGAGGGTAGTAAGAGCATTAGTCTCTTGCTTAGGTTTGCCAAAAATCCGAGTAAACATATTTGATTCGTTTTGATTAGCTTCTGTATCAATCAAGACACTTGTCTCCTAACAATCCTGTGAAATCCAGACGGTAACAGTAAAAAATCACATAAAAAAAGGAACTTAACACCAAAAGCTAGTTCTAAATTCTGCTCCCTTTACAATTCTGGAAAACAGAGAAAAAATTAATATCATCAAGTTCTAAATTCTGCACCATTAAAAATTCCGAAACAAACATAGAAAAATATAATTTCAGTAGGAGAAATAAACTATGTTACAACACCTCCGAAGCTTCAAAATAGAGCTTTAAATTCAGCTATTGAACAATTGATTGATGAAAATCAGCTCCAGATGCAATTAAGAGCTTGGGATTTTGGGGGTAAAAGTAAAAAAAGTCAGGTGTTGTGATTGATAGATTGGTCCACACGGCGAGCACAAATGTATGTCAAGCAGCCATCATTTTTCAAATGAAAAATATACGAAATACACGGGTACTTTTCAAATCAGCCAAGTCTTATATGCCAATTTCCAATTTGACCACATTTTTTAAAATAGTTATACAATTACAAAAGGGTTAATTTAACAAATAGTCACTGAAGTTACGTCAAAATTTTAGAACGGTCACTGAAGTTTAAAAGTTGCACTAACAGTCACTGAAGTTACATCCAGTTTCACAAATGATCACTGAAGGACCTTTTCATTCTAATTGAAACTTAATTAACCAAAATAATTGAAACTTGCACCTTGAGGACCTAAATAAAAAACAACCATGCTACAAGTACAATTTTTTTGACATCAAATTTGACAATGTGTCACGTGTTGAAGGTTGAGTGGCCAGTTTTTAAACACCACACACTTTTCCGCCCATTTGAATTTGAATTAACATGGATTGTCAAATTCCTAGTCAACCATGGATTGTACACAAAGCATTATTCAATAAAAAATTTGACAATAAAACAAATGCATCTCTTCCATCACTATTACACCTCCCTCCCCGTAAAATCCTTAAAACCTCCAAAAAAATTTGGGTCTTTGGGGCGCCGGCTTCACCAATTGTGCCGCCGCAAACTGACCCGTCAAACTGCCGAATCTCACCCCAGTCGCCTGCTTCATCATTTGTAGGAAATTCGCAGGATCTGCTATGATGAACGTCGTCATCGCCGCCCGCGACTTTCGCTTATTTATCTTTCCCGTCGGCGCATCAATCCGATGTTTCGAAACCGGAACTCCACTTCCTAAACCTCTCGCCACAATGGGTGTCTGCACAGGCATCAATTCAGGACTAACAAGAAAAGACTCAAACCGTATCCGTCGAAATTTCATGCCTGGAATTATTCTCAGTTGATGGATTTGCAAACGAATTCTGCAAGACTTTTGTTAGTGCTTCTTTTTCAGCAAACGGTTGACAGAACGTCCCCCATGGTGGTTCCATTGCCAATAAATTCGAAGAAAAAACCATTTTTAAAACTACCAAAACAAAACAAAAAAATCAGTAAGTCGAACCCAATTTTTTTTGATAAACACGAATCAATACCATTAGTTCAAGTTGTTTCAGGTTTTGATTGCAAAGGAAGAGAAAATGGTAAATGATAAGATAAGAGCAGTTGGATTGAGGAAGTTGGGGCTGAATTAATAAGGCGTAGTGGTGCTGGGAGGGAAAGAATAAAATTTGTGGTGGTGGGCTGAATTAATAAGGCGGTGCTGTTGTTTCAGGTTAGTCAATTTGTTTTATTCTCAAATTTTTTTATTTAGGTCCTCAAGGTGCAAACTTCAATTATTTTGGTTCATTGAGTTTCAATTAGAATGAAAAGGTCCTTCAATGACCATTTGTGAAACTGGACGTAATTTCAGTGACCGTTAGTGCAACTTTTAAATTTCAGTGACCGTTTTGAAATTTCGACGTAAATTCAGTGACCGTTTGAGAAATTAACCCAATTACAAAAATATGATACTGTTTAAAAGACAATAATACACTTTTTTAAGTTATAAAAAATTTCAAACACTTCCCACTTGTTTTATCTATTTTCTCCAACACGTATAAAAATTGTTTCATTTTTCATCTGCTTTAAACTTGAAAACAGATAACTTTATCAAACACTCAACAAGAAAATATTATTCACAGCAATCATTTGGAATCGGTAAGTATATTTACGTATTTTTAATTTCACTTTGGTTAAATTAGTAAATTATTTTAATCTTTAAATGTTATTTCAGTATAGGCAAATAAAAAATTTACGATCGTAAATGGATCTATAGTTTTTTTAACAAAACGAGAAAAAAATTCATCTGACGGATCCAGACGGCCCGGACGTTCGGGACGACTGTAAATCCGCCATGTACGTCTGGACATGCAATTTTACCCTCTTTTTTTCCCAAATTATAATTTTTTTTAACAAATTATGTTTCCTAATGCAGATATGGGATTGGCTGCAGTCTCAATTTGTTATTTTGGTGAATTTGAAATGAATGAAAATAGTCGATTGGTCTGAAAATGGACATGTGAAATAATGGCACAATTGCAATTGTGATGATATCGAGTACATCATATGCACAAATGTACCGTGAGATACAAAACAAAAGCTCAACATCGATACATCTCAGTACAACATGTAATTGAGATTTCTATTCAACAATGAGCATACATCCATTCAAATTCCACCTGTAAAGATTACTTCTGGAGATGAAATCAAGGTTTTAATTGAATTGAACCAAGTTCGCACGACTACTCCTATTTGCGTAACTTTAGCGAAGAAGAATGTACCCAATAATAAACACGAAGATCTCAATGGAAGAGATCGTAATGTAAATGATTTTTGGCACACAGTGGAGATAACTCATGAGGATTATGTGGTTATTCCTGATACGGTTGTTCCTCGCCGTAATTTCACCATTACGCACAGAATTCTCCCGATAGTTCAAAACAACGTGAATGAAAATGAATTTACAAATGAGAATTTGATTGCTTTATCCCGTCGGAGACATGAGTCGGGTTTACAACCTGGAACAAGTACACGGACCTCTAATTGTTCCCGTGTAGTTCCTAATGATGAAGATTTATATGTCGAGTAACTGTTTGAAACGAAGAAAGATTTGTAAGAAGCTATGCACCGGATTGCTATGAAACACAATTTTGAGTTTAAAGT